TCTCTCTCTCTCTCTCTCTCTCTCTCTCTCTCTCTCTCTCTCTCTCTCTCTCTCTCTCTCTCTCTCTCTCTCTCTCTCTCTCTCTCTCTCTCTCCCTCTCTCCTCCCCTACCCCCTTTTGCCCTTCTCTCTCTCTTGCCTCATCCGATTCTCCCTTCGCCCCCGCTGCCTCTCCCCGACCTCATCCTCCTCTTGTACTCTAAGACCTTGACCTTACCTCCTCCCTCTTTTTCCCCTTGGCATATAACTAACCTTCCTCGTTCACTTGTTACATTGCCAAAGAACGAACAGTGAAAAGAATCTGTCCTCACTTAGCGGAGAAAGTGGGCAAGGGGAGGGTTGTCGGTCCCTTGTGCCGCCGAGAAGGAAAGGAAAAGACACATGAGACATTGGGGCTGGATAAAGTTGGTACTTAAAGCAAGGTCAGATTGACTCAACCATCACCCCGACTGCATGAGTAACGGAAAAGATTGGCTAGGATTGAGAAAAGGAAAAGGAAAGCACAAAGGGTCAAGGAAAACGAACTTAGGCTTGTGGGAGGGATTATGTGTTGACTCCAGGTGGGGGGATGCCCTGCATAAATCGTGTTGAATGTGCAAGTAATAAGTACATTAAAGAGACATTGAGCGGGAGTGGGCCCTGGGAATGCCGGGCGACAAAGAGAAAGTGGGGATGAGGACGAACGGGTTGTGGACTTAACCTTTGCCATTGAACAATTGCTTGAGCATGTTTGTGTAAAGCAAAGTCGGCTATAGCAAATGACAAAGACATAAAGCGGCCGAAGAGGACGCCTCGCCTAGGCTAAAATGAAAAATTCGGGCATGCATGTGAGGTGGGACCCCGAAATGAGTAAGGGGTGTATAGAAGAATGCAAGGCTGGACGAAGGAAGGACATGCATGATGTATGCGATAACAAAAGTCACGTATAGGTTGGCTGAGGAGGGAAGCCGGCGAAACCCCAGGGAGGCGTTGGGGGACCGCGAGACATGGTCTGCTGGCCCGACCCGAAGGGAAGTTGCGACCTCGACGGAGCTATAGGGACTCTCCGTTTAGTGAATGGATGCGTGGCCCAAGGATGACGCTTGGCCTACGCATAAAAGAAGAGAAACTCTCAATAAACTCCCTGGACTGTTTGTGTATTGGAAGGAACTATTGTATGACAACACCTCAAAGCATCAAGAAAACAACGCTTGCCGAAAAGATTGGCGAGTCTACCATCCGACGGGAGGGCGGAGCTACATCCCCAATGTCAAAGCTCTCTCGCAAAATGACCCATCCCCATCCACCGCAAACACTAGGTGGGGGTGCCCCTGTGACGAAAGCTCCGCGCCCTGAGCATGAGATCGGGCGGAGCACAGCCAACTGGGACCCGCAGCGGGTCGATTCAGGCTCGAAAGTCGAACAGGGTAGGGCCCTACACAGGTGTCGGGTCTGACTCTTGAATTTCCAAGAGTCCTCGTGTGGGGGTACTGGAATGTTACGGATCTGCGCAAGGCTCGATCCCTGGACCTCATGCCTGGTACTGTGTCCGCGACACCTTTTACGTTTCTGTCCCTTGGACATTTTTACCGGTACCCTTCTGGTACCGACGATTTTCGTACATACCCTTGAGCCCAGCCTAGCCGTTAGGCTGTTCCCAGATATATGTACCAGTCTCGCACACGGGTGAGACATTAGGGGCTGTACTCTATTTTGGACATTGGTTTGTGTGTCTGACATCGAGTTGGTGCTGGTACTGCTCTCTATGCATCCCTCATCGTACCAGTCCGGTTCTGCATTGGAGTCTGGTCGTGAGTGTGTGTGGTCACTCCCTCTCACCTTCCCATCTCCTCCTCGAACCCAGTGCTTGTGACATGGACGCTGTGTTTGACTTAGGGCTGCATACCCCTTGACCCTAAGGACTGTTTCAGACATTTCAAGGACTCAGGGCTTGACTTTTGACCCCTCTTTCAGACCTTCGACCAAAAATTACAACCCTAACTTAGACTCATGCGGACTTTGAACCAAGTTTATTGCACACGTTTGAACCAACATTGTAATGCTAGAGAGAGAGAGAGAGAGAGAGAGAGAGAGGGAGAGAGAGAGAGAGAGAGGGGGGAAGACGAAGAAGAAGAAGCAGCAGCAGCAGCAGCAGCAGCAGCAGCAGCAGAAGAAGAAGAAGAAGAAGAAGAAGAAGAAGAAGAAGAAGAAGAAGAAGAAGAATGTATGCACATGTGCCCACCTGCCTACTTGCGAACACAATTTCTTTGACTGCAATGTTTTTGTTTACCCACTATGAAGCAATGCAATGCTTAGACGTGTACCCCTGTATGAAATTGGTTATGATTAAGATTGTTCTCTTTGTTTTCATTGCATGGATGTGGATACGTGTAACTGGGAGGGGGGGGGGGGGGGAGGCGGAGGGGAGGGAACCGAAAGGGTCAGGAGGAGGGGGGTGAGAACACTGCAACTTTGCGGGTTGCCTTGCTGTGCTTGCAGATTGGATTGTCATAGACCCTCAAAACATTTACTCCAAATATGGAATAGACATTGCAATGGCGATTGATCTGAATCCCTATGGTTGGCCGGAGAAGTATGATTTCAGAAAAATGTCCCAAAATACGTGGTGCCAAATCCGGACCAGAGATGGTATACCAGTTCTCCCTGCCAGAAAAGCAGACATATATGGGCCAGCTGGTAATGCTATCAATGTACGTTTGACGTGCAAGGAGACATTACTGCTGCCTGGAAATTTCACAATATTTGGCACAGTTAATGGAGTAGAATGGCTTCCCACGCACAACATATCAATTGGGGAAGGTGGACCAGGTCCACCACCTCCAATGTATGACTATGGGCAACCCCCACCATCTACAAGAAGGTTGTCCAGCACAGCTGGCCTTGGCAACTTTTCGTCGCTCCAAGACATGGAGCAGTTCTCAGTAGGTGGAGACACGCAGGGGCAGAAAGGATTTTCCAGCCGCATCATTACAGGCCCTCCACACTCATTGGGTGATGTGAGAGACTTGCTGCTATCCATGCCTAATCCACCGGGGCACCATTTGTGGAGGCCTCAAGCTATTATAGATCCCATTGATCCTTCTTGGTTTTCAACAGATGCAAGTTCAGACGTGACCAACCAGCGGCACAGAGGGAGAGTTGCACAAGAGGATGTTGGGCCAGTGTATGGCTGGAATTACACAATATTTGACATTAGTGTTCGCTATCCGGGTCAGTCCTATTGCCTAGGATATCGCCCAGGTGCTTACGCAGATCCCACATTGCGGCGGATGATGCTTGGGCCGACTGTGACAACCATCACTCCTACCTTCTCCCCCAACTCTCTCCTATATCGGGCAAGAGTTTATACGACTGCAAATCCCAGTGTTCATGTTGCTTTAGCTCCACCCCATGATCTTGCACGCATACGAATCCAAGGTGTTCCCCTTAACCTGACATGGGAGGTGGTGCCACGGCAAGTTCCAGAAGGGAAGAAAGTGGAGCTGCAAGCAAGGTTTAAGTTTCCAGTTCGTCTTGGCCCGAATGTTTTAAACATAGAGGTGTTTGCTGCAAATGCAATAGATGTATTAGACTACTACCTGGTGGTCTACTATGTACCAGATACACGACTGTCTCGTTTACAAGTTGGAGGAAGTGTGTTGTTACCACCAGTGCAGATTCCTATCTCACCTATGTTCCGACGCGGCAGTGAATTGCACTATACAGCACAAATCAGTGCTGCGCTTCCCCATGTAAGATTTCTCGCTCGCTCCTATGACTCCGAGGCACTGGTTTATGTAAGAGTGCCGAGGGAATCATCTCCATCAGAATACTCCCCGCTCTCCTCCTCTTCTCAGTTGTTGCCATCCTCTGGTTCCTCCCAAGACCAAGGTCAGGTCCGTGTGTCGCTGGAACCGGGTCTCGGCCCGGAAGATGTGCCTTATGCACTTCCTCCATGGAATGAGAGCTGGACTTCTCAGGACTTGGATCCATTTTCGGAGACTTCATTCTCTCGTCTCGACTGGCCGTCGGGCACACTCTGTGACCCTGGACCTTGGAACCTTCGTCGTCCTCCTTCCTCTCATATAGCTGAGCGGTGGGTCCAGTCTATGTGTGGCCTCTCCTATGTCGATGTATCTGGTAACACAACGGGGGATCCCAATGATCGTAGGATGTTGGTGGGCCATATCTTCAGTCGGTCTATCCGATTAAGAGCTGTGCTTGGTGACCAGGAACTCCCACATTCTCAATTTGTTGGTGAGCTGGCATCTGCAATGCGAATGCTGAATGAGCAAAGTGAGCCGACACCGGAGGCCATAATGCAGTGGCTGAGGAACGAGTTTGTGGACCAGGCGGACATACTGAACCTGGCTGAGAAAGGAGTGGTATGGCAAGGTATGTACAGTGCTTATGTAGTTCGCCAGAATCAATGGACACCTCTGATCCACATGCGATATGGACTCAACCCTGTGGAGCTGTGGTTTGTCTCCAAAGGCCAGCCTCTTGCGCCTTATGTGATTATGGTAAAGCGGGCTTTTGAAAATCTCCAAAATATTGGCATCAAGTCCCTTAGAGCAGTCGGTGATTATCCTATCGAGCCACCTTTTGACGTGTTTCTTAGAGAAGGATATACTGTGACACTACCAAGGCTATCAGATGCTGTGCATTTCATCGCAGAGCCATCTCACAGGGGAGTTGTATCTGCTTCTGTGAAATTTTGGCGTGGAAACTCTACACTCAAACTTGGAAGAAATCTAATTGCCATTACAGTGCGGACATTGGAAGACATTGTGGGCCAGCCTCCCCCCATGGAGGCCCTGTACAATCTCACACTAGTTGTGTCACCAACCAACCTTGCCGACCTGTCTTTCCAAGGGGATAGCCCTGCTTTTTCAGCAAGCCTGTACCCTCCGATCTTTGATCCTCTGCGCATGGAGTACAACCTGACTCTCAGGGACTTGAACTCAATGGTGATCCGTGCAACAGCTCTTGGACCCAGAGCTATCCCAGTGATCGAGTGTTCATTTGGCTGTCAAGTACAGCAAGCTCCTACTCCCTTTCGCCCTCCACCTCCTTCTCCACCTACAGCCACTGGTTCTACGGAGGACACAGACTACATGACTGATTATGTCACGCCAACATTTGCACCACCATATGCTCTTGGTGTTCCTGAGCCACCAAGTATTCCTCAGCCACCAGAGATTCCCAACACACCACCAGGACTCGAATCACCACCATCTGTGGATGACTATCACTATGACTACTATTCAGAGGACAAATGTGATATCGATCCTCTGAATTGCCATCCAAGACTGAAAACGGCTACATCCCCATTGATGGCGCCAAGAATATCTCCCACCGACCATCTAAGTGGCTTCCTACAGGACATTTTTGATGAAGATGAACAAACATATGACTATACCGACCTCGGTGATTACTTCAACCTTGGTTCCCCATTGGACATTGCCGCACCAGAGCATGCACAGGCACCAACATCAGCTGTTTCAATTGGCAATGCTCCCACGTCTCTCCCTGGTGGCTACAATGGCTTTTCCGTCAGTTCAACTGTGAAGGATGCTGGAGGGGGCTGGTCCACATGGACTCATGCAGCCGACTCCCTCCCTACCACGTCTAGCCATGACATTCCGATTGCTATGGAGGTCGAGAGTTCAACAGTTTCGTCCTCTAGCCTCCAAGGGAACCAGGACCTCCTCAGTGTAAGTAATCTCAAGGGATCGGCAGCCATCCAGCTCAGACCACGATCACAACCAAAACCTGCTTCAATCTCAAAGCAAAGGTCAGTCCTGTCAAAGAAAAAAACACGGCCTGCAATACTGTCTCCACCATCCTCCAGCGAACCTCCTCAATCCCGGCCACCTCTCACTGCTTCGAGCTTGAAAGTAGGAATCGAAGCACAATTCGAACAGAAAGTGGAAGCAAAAGACCTTGCAAGTTCCTCGGAAGCTGCTCCTGGTCCATGCGATGCACCAGAGGTGCTAACATATGATGACGTGAGGAGGTACCAGTCTTATAGTGCCAGTATTGCCTCTCACTCTGCAAACTTTTCCGGAATGAGGACAAAGGTGTTACCCTCGACTGCACCGCAGTCCTCCATGGGGTCTCTGTGGGAACGCATCTCTGCTTGGCGTAATAGTTCCCGAAATCCGTCAGGCCAGCTGCCTGTGCCTCGTGGTGACAAGCCTCATCCTATCCCTGTTAGTGTTCACACCACCACTCTGCCTCAATTTATGGTTGTGCTGGAATCTAATGTAGGCGAGGTATCAGCGCTCTTTGCAGCTTCTGCTCCGAAAGCCGGCGCTGCATGGTTGCCATCAATAGCCAGGGGATCCAGTGAAAAGCTAGAGGAGCCAGAAGCTATGCCATCTGATGATGAACTAGGTAACTTGATGCATGGTGGTGTTGATTCGGAGACTTGGGCCATGGACTCTGAGGTGACTCCATATCTGGATTCCTCTGAACAGAAAGCAGAAAAAAAGGAAGATGCCATGTTTTCCCTGTTCTCACCCTTGCAGACAGGGAATACTTCTGAGGGATCTGATATTCGTCAATGGTTACTGGGGGAGAAATCCGTGCATCATAATCGGCTATTAATGATGATTGACCAATCCGGCCTTGAAGATGAGATGGAACCAAGTCTGATCAAGGTGATGCCATCCTCTGTTAACCTTGAATCATCTCCACCATCGTTGGGACAACTTCCAGCGATTGTGGTGACACAACGCTTGTACTCCGACAGTGAGGATGTGGGAGGAGGTGATATGTATCTGAAAGGAGAGGCCAAATCGTGGATGGGGAAAAGCAGCTTACCACAGCCACAGCAACAGGGAGTTGTCTCTCTGGCATCAACGATGGGAACAATAGGTATTCCCAGGCAGGTGAATGCCATCGTGGGTCTTGGTCGTAGTGTTGTGAACATCCTTGTTCTGGATTCAACTGGAGTGGTTGACAAGTCATATTCATTTGATGTCCAGCGTAGGATCGACTCCAGTGCTCTTTTGAGGCAGCTAATTGTCCTGGATCGGAATCTTAGTGTGAGTCTGATTCCACCCTTCGACCCTGATGTCTTGTCCTACACTGTCTATGTGACTGGCGAGTCAGCTTCTATGGTAGACATCCATGCGTATGCCGTAGATGTATCATCATCCGGCTCGTTGGTCACACTACGCTTGGATGGAAAGCTTGATGGATCTAGTTTTGGGTCATATATCAGAAATAATGTCGGGACTAAAGTAAAGGTGAGAGCAGAGATTGAGGTGGCAGCAAGAGACGCATCTATGAGACAAACCTACACACTGGATATTTACATGTTCCCCAATGGTGATAGCTCCTTACGGTCTCTTATTCTCGCATGTAAGAAAGCCCCGAACAGTAGATTTGAGTGGCTGTATACTTTTCCTCTCCAGATGTATCAGTACAACTACTCATACACCCTAGAAAGAAATGATGTCATCGAGCTGGCTGTAATTGCTAGCCCACGAGTGCGGACTGCTGAGGGATTGATGACAGTTAGCGTCCCACCACTCTACGAGAAGATCCCCCTATCGACGCGAACCCTGTCCCAGGGATTCGCTCCACCAACTTTCTCTGCAAATGTGACTGTATCCATCGACTCTGTTAACATCTACTATGATCATACCATCTTGAGCTCCTACTCAATTTCCATTTCAAAGCAAACAGCTGGTCCACTCCGCCTCTCCTCTCTAAAAATTGACACGTACGATACCTATGGCCCGTATACTCTGTATCCCAGCTTCAATCCAGCCGTTGTGGAGTATGAGGTAAGAGGTGATGTGCCTCCCATTGTGAATGGCCTAATCTTAGAAGCAGAGACCAGCTACCCTTTTGACAATGTCACAGTTGCCGTGAGCCGAGAAGCTCCGGAGTTTTTCTACTTTGTGAAGCCTGATGTGTACTCCGGAATCAGAAATGTATCCAGAATGACGGAAATATTTGGATCCAACGTTGTGGTCACACTGAATGTCACATCTCCAAGCAACGCCAGTGCAATCGGGGCAACTTACACTCTGAAAATTTTTGCTGGTTCCCTTCCCGAAGCCAGAAAGTATGCTGTCACAGCAAGCGCCCCATCGAGGGCCATGCGTGCTGGGGAGTTGCTGTCTTTTCCATACCGCATAGCACCGCAGTGCATTGGGCCAGAAAGAACGGTTGTCCTGTGTTCTCCTTTGCCAAAGGGTCTTGCCTTCAGCGTCTGGGCAACCTCAAAAGCTCCCGGCGTGGAAAGCAGATGGCAGCTTGTGGACTTTGTCACCACTAGAGCATCACCTGACCGGACAACTAGCTTTTTTGCAGACCTCACAATAGTTGGTCTGTATGGCGTGCGATTGGAACATCTTGGTCATAGGATCTATCTCCCTGATGTCACCATTGTTTGCAATGTCACATCCCCCCAGCATTCTATGGCGATGATGCAGAGAGACTCGTTTGTCAAGATTGATGAGCTTATCTTGTTCACTGTGGAGTTGAGGGATGCATATGGGAACTTAGTCACAGAGCAGGATGATAGGGGAATGACACCATATGATTTTGTCATCTCCATATGCCCAACCCCTCAAGAGGGGCCAGCTACACAGCGGCGGAGAAAAAGGCAGGCCAGAGGAAGAATCGAGGTGGACTCCCTGCTCCAGCCGGATATCAACAACATCGACAATGGAAATTACATGCTGTCCAAGCCAACTTCTGGTGGATCCAATGATCTGACTCTCGGAGCAAGTGACTCTAACAGTGATTCATCGGTTGCCAGTGGCCACCACCAGAGTGCACGTAATGACCATGATACTGGTAACGAGAGTGGTCATGAGGATGGTGAAAATATGAGCATCTTCCATTACTTGGTGCCACGAGTGGGTGCTCATGAAGGCCTGCCGGCGAAACGAATGGTGGACAACTCTGGAGATAGCAGCTTGGGACCCTTGAGAATAGCGGCCTCTCCCAGCATGTCTTATTCAAAGTTTAAATCGGGCATGACAGGAGGAGGTGCAGTGGGAGTTGCCTTGGCAAGGGATCGCTTCACCACTGCTAGTGACAATCACAAGGGAAGCGGGATTTTCAAACGGGAATGGGCTTCCTCAAGGTTTCCCAAGCACACAGGTATTAGTGGAGAACAATCAGACCTCGTGTATGACATAGCAGAAGTGGTGGAGAATGGGAACACAGTAGCATCTTCTGATGGATGGAGCTCCAGGGATTATGCAATTTCTGCACTCAATGCTGGCGATGGGTTGGTCAGTGATGTACCATCTTATCTAAGCATGGTTTCTGGTTCTGGTTCTGACTCCGCTAGCAGCAAGCCACTAACGGCAGGAGGTAGTTTGAAATGGAACATCCAGCCAATTGTCGACATGCCCACTACTGATAGCTTGGGCGAAGAGAAGGCACGATCAGACATAAAACCCCAGAGCTGGGCAACAGTCCAGTCCAGTGAACTGTCCAACCTCCCTATCACAGCATTCTTGACCTCGGCATGCCAGGGAAACCCTTCCCGAAACATGACACTGCAGGCTACCCAAAATGAGCCTTATTATTTCTCTTTCTCGTTCTCCACCACCATAGCTGGATGGCACTATATCATCCTGAGGAATAAAAAAGGTGAGACTTTTCAGAATTCTCCTCTTGAGCGGAAGGTCTTGCCAGGGCCAATCTACCCTTCTGCCTGCACTCTGACTTATGACAGGCCAGAGCCCGGGGATGTCATCCTAACATTGGAAGCACGGGACAAGTATTCTAATGCACTTGATACAGGTGGTGATGGCAGCAAGATCAATGCATCCATGTGCTTGAGCCCATGTCCTTTCATTGAGGGAGGTGCAGGAACTGCTGCTGAGGTGTCAGACAACTACGATGGGACTTATGACTTGCTTTTCCGTAAGCTTGTGCGTGGCCGTTACAGACTGCGTGTGTGGGTGGATGGAACTCTTACAGCTGGAACACCGCTCACCGTCCCCGTTGTTGAGCGCAAACTCTCGCCATCATCTACTACTAATCTGACTTCACCAGTGTTCATCAGCAAATGGGCTGATTTGGTTTTTGCTCTCACCGGCAGAGACCTGCTTGGTGGTAGGGTTGACGCTCCTGCTGATGGTGCACAGATAGGCATAGCTGTGTGTAACATCTCCTCCACCAGTGTGAACGGCACTGGTTGTGTCTTGGTAGAGCGTTCTGTGACAATGCTTCCTTCTCCTTCTGGGAATATCAGTGGATCCACATCTGACAGTGAGAACAAGGATCTATACCTTGTGAGAGTGGTGTGGGAAGATGTCAAAAGATTCGGCCCTGGGAGGTTCATTCTGCAGGTAACAGCCGACAGTGCATTACTCAATGAGGGAGTGAGGGAACTCAGCATAATTTTCCCCGAAGCTGTGAGAGCTCCGGGAACTTACGAAGTGCGTATGGCAGTGAGTGCTAGTTCTGTGGAGTTTGTGATAACAGCATATGATGAGGACAACGTCTTGATGCTCAGTGCAACCTTTGCTGCTGTGATCAGGCCTGTTAAGATCGTCTCCATCTCTGTGCCAGCAACTAGCCCCAGCAATGGTACGTATGTCATCACTGTGACTAACTTGACAATTGGACAGTACTCATATGACCTTAAGTATTGTGGTTCTGACCCTGGCTGCAACAATGCACTAGATGACACGGCTCTACCCTGGATCAGAAGAGACGAGCCACTCATCATCGGCGGTGGTGAATTGTCCCCGAGAACCACCACCATCGAGGACCTCCGCTTAGTCTATGACTATGGGAAGCTTGCGTTCTTCACGATCCGTGCTCGAGACTCAAATGGTAATGCTCGGATCCTGGGCAATGACCTCGATCGTTTCACCATCACTTTCAATCCCACTCTTATCTTTACCGTTATGTACACCACCAATGGAACATACAAGGTGAACTTCATCCCTACGAGCAGCTCTTACACTGCTGTGGTTTCAATAGATGACAGGGAGTTCCGGAGGTTCACGTTCACTGTCCGTATCCCTGATTCCCCTGCCCGGAACTTCTTCCTCAGTGGGTACGCTCTTAGCAGGGGGTATATGGTTGCTGGATTTGCTGACGACTTCTCTGTTCGGCCCCTTAATCCCTCCTATAGCACCATAGAGGTGTTCTCTGTCAGTCTTGACCGTTTTGACTCATTGGACCTCAGCAACATTACCAGTTTTCAGATCGCAGATGCATGTCCCAAGGGTCGGACCTCTGTGGAATGTCGGTTCAAGGTCAACCAGACTCGTTCTGGACGGTATCTGCTTGATGTCTTGTTCCAGAACAACTCTGTTGCCAACGCCCCCACCCTGATGAGTGTGCGCCCCCGAAGAGCAGTAGGACGACTGTCCACCATCGAAGTACCCTTGTCTTTGGCTGGCCCAATACGTGCAGGAAGAACTGTAAATTTCAATGTCACTCTGAGAGACATTTTTGGAAACGGTGCTGCAGCCACAGCCCTTTCGGTCAGCTTTGAAAGCTTTAATGAATCTTCCAAAGTTGAGGGGCAAATTAGCAACCGCATCCCGAAACAGGGGCGGAGCGATGACTCTGAGACGGGTGAGTTCGTTGTCTCCGCCACTCTCACCCGAGCTGGATTCTACCTTGGAACGGCTGCCATCATTACGGGCAACTCCTCGCAAACTGTTGTGGACCAATTACAAGGTTCAGGTTTCACTCTTGTTGTCATTCCAGGTCCACCATCCGGATCAGCATCTCGTGTGACTGGCTCTGGCACTATGGACATGATAGCTGGCACACTTGTAGAGCTGAAAATCTTCTTGATGGATGCGTTTGGAAATGAGATTGTTGGTGAGAACATGGCTAACAATACTGTCCAAGGGACCATCAAGGAGGACAGACCCAACTCGCCAGTCATCCTCACCCTCACCGCCCGAGTGGTGTCGCCTAGGGATAACTACTTCACGGTCAGATACAATGTCACTAAGGCCCAGAAGTACCGCATTCGGCTTGACGTCAGTGGGTCAAATTTTGCATCTTTTACGGTCACAGTCTTTCCAGGGCCTTTTGATTTGTCCAAGACGCTAGTTTACAATGTGGTGAATGCCACTGCAGGACAGGAAGGATCTTTCAGCATCCAGCTTAGGGATGCGTATGAAAACAATGTTGAAGGTCCATACGCAGTGAGGACACAGTCCATCAGCAATGTACTGCGTACAACAGTTTTCATGCCCCTTCCAGGCTTTGACCTACTCAATCCGATGGCATCTTCTCCAGCACCATCGCTGCTTGATGAGAGTGGGCTACCTGGAAGGGCCTACCCCGGTCGTGGCTTGCAGGCCGAGGAGCTTGCTGACCCTACCACTACGGCTTTGCCAGGAGGATATCCCCATTCCCAACCAAGTGTGATCCAGACGCAGATGCACTCAATGCAGGTGCAGGCTCTGCAGCTGTCCAGTGGGCCAGTGAATATTGATGTGTCCATGACCTATCTGAAACCGATCTCCAACCTCGAGCTGTACTCACCCATCTTGGTACCTAGGCTGCGCTTTGAGAGCCTTGGGACAGGAGCAACCTACAAGTGCACATTCAGCTCCACGTTTGCAGCTACCTATGCTATAGTTATCGTCATTAATGGACACACTGCTAGCAATCTTAAGCACACTGTTAGCATCCTTGCTGGGCCGATAGCAGGTGACATGACTACAGCTTCTGGACCGGGGCTGAAAGGGGGAGCTGCAGGCTCATGGCTGACATTCACGATAGCCGCCAAAGACACATACGGGAATCTACGAACCGCAGCAGACACTTCCAGCCTTTTTGACATCAATATCAAGGTTCTTCGCAACAGGAGGACAGTAACCAGTGCATCCTCGTTGCAGAACACCACCTTGATGGAATCCTCTTCGCCCATCCCTACACCTGTCTTCGATGCCAGCCGCTCCCTGTGGGTGGTAAACTACACTGTCTCAGTTGCGGGCCGGTCATCCCTCACCATTTTGGTGGGAGGGAAGGGCATTGTTGGTAGCCCATTCCGAGGAGTCATTACTGCAGCACCATTTGTTGCTTCCATGTCAGAGATTTCAGGTCCGGGGGTATATGGCAGCTTCCAGAACGTTGACGCGCGGTTCACTGTGACTGTAAGGGATCGTTTTGGCAATCCAAGGCAGGACTCCAGCGTGCCGATTGATCCAATTCGGGTACGGATCCTGACAGGGCAAGGAACCGTCTCTTTCACAGACAACCCAGATGGATCAGGGACGTATCAGGTGGTTTACAACATCCCTGTTCCAGGACAGTACAATCTCAGTGTCACTCTCCTTGATGAGAATGTAGGAATTCCATCTGGTCCAAGAAGTCCATTGAAGCTGATGATCCTTGACAAGGATGCACCCCAGGTTCTAGATCCTGCAAAGTCATATGCGGAAGGGCTGGGCTTGATTGAGGGCATGGTCGGTGTGCCATCCTGGTTCTTGCTCACAGCCCGAGATGTCTATGGGATTGGGTTCCGTGCTGGAGGACAGGCCTTTGCCCTCAGATTCGCCCCCAATGCTAGTGCCTTCATCCCCACAATTACGGATAACTTTGATGGGAGCTACAACGTCTCCTATGTGGGTATCATTGCTGGTCAGTTCAGAATGACTCTCTCCCTTGCCACGTCAGCTGACACTGTGGTAGCTGGCATCCTACAAAAACCTTTTATTATGTACCCTGGGCCTACCAGTCCCTCGGCATGCAGCCTGTCGAGCCCTTTCACTGATGTTGCTGCTGGTACCCAGATTGAACGGATCGTCCTGACCAGAGATGCCTTTGGGAATCGTCAGGCTTATGGAGCTCATTACCCCCTTGATAACATTGTCATAACTTTCCAGCTGCGCACCACACGCGCTGAGTTTCAAGTGACTGCAGTACTCGATTCCGGTGGTAACTACAAGTTCTCCTTCACGCCTGTCCAGGCAGGTGTCTATGACATCACTGGCACTGTCAATCGTGGAACCCTTGGCTCACTGTCTGGTGGTGCAGTTATCACGGTTGCAAACGCACCGATCAGCCCCCTCTACTCCATGCTGGTGGGGAGCGGTGCAACTGCTGGCATTGCAGGGGAAGTTGGAACATTCACCTTGTATTTGCGTGACCTTTTCAATAATGACATACTAACTGGGGACCTTGTTTGCATGGTCAATGGTTCACTTGCCTCCGCAGTGTCTTCTAGTGGCTCCTCCAGGCAGAGTCCTCTTCTTCCTCGAGAGGTCTCCCTGAATTGCAATCCTGTTGCTGAAAACGCTGGGGTTGTTGCAGTCACCTATAACTTAACAAGAGCCACTGTGTACCGCCTTGCAGTTTCAGTCCGCATGCTTGGACAGGGGCAAGTGTTTGCCAACAGCACTAACACATCGTCTAATGCCAGATCGCCGGTTGGGTTTGTGCTAGCAAAGGAGACCTTTCTGACGATTTCCCCTGGAAGGCCCTCTGCAAGAAATTCTCAGGTGTCATTGCGTGGCATGCCTGTGCCCCAAGCAGGGGTGTCCTCCTCTTTCGGCATCATCTGTAATGACGTTTTCAACAACACCTGCACCTTCTCAGCTGACATGCTGGTGGCTATCCGTGGCCTCTACCAAGTCCAGGTCTTCAGTGCTTCAGCTGGGTCTATTCTTGCTAGTGTTGAGCCCCTAAGAAACCAACAGGGTCTCCTTCAAGCTAGATTCACCCCTGTGACAGATGGAAATTACACCGTCTCTGTACACCTTGGAGGGGAAGATATCATTGGAAGTCCGTTTAATTTGTCAGCACGTGACTCACCTTCCTCTCCTGCGAACACCTACGCTATCCTGGAGGGTGCAAGTGTTTGTTTACAGCAGGATGAGTGGTTCAAGGTGACTGCTGGAAGGAAAACAGTGTTGACAGTCGTTGTTATGGACACGTTCAACAGAAGAAGGGAGAAAAATGTAGACGATGCAATTCGAGTCAAGAGCTACGGACCTGTGACAATAAACTCCAATAGCCCAGCTCTGGGGGCCACATCGACAGGATTTGCAATTCTAGAAGTTACAACTGTCAACAACTTCACTGCTGTCCGCAATGGCATCTACAATGTCACCTTCTTGGCCACCAGGTCCAAAGCGCCAGCCACTGGAAACTTAGCCAATGTTGCACCAGGGCAACCGATTCCATACACACTCAGCATTGAGCTCATCTCTCGCTTCAGAGGAGTGGAGACCGGACGAGGTGAGATATCAGGCTCCCCTTTCCGTTTCACTGTCACACCCGGCGTAGTAAGTGGGCCCAGTTCTACGGTAACTCATATGCAGTATGAAGCTGATTCAGAGGGGAAGTCTTTGAAGGCCATCTTCCTGATTATGCCACGTGACCTGTATGGAAATAACGCAGAATACATCCCTGGTGTGTTCTACAATGTTTCCGCCGAAGTCTCCTCTGTTCAGGGTCCGCCCCCCCTCATTCAGGGCTTTATGGAGTGGCAGATCCCTGCCCCTCCATTGTTGCCCCCAGCACAACCTCTCGCTTCTCCACCACCCAGGACTCCACCACTCCCTTCTCCATCCCCCTTCCCATCCCCGTCTCCAGAGCCATCATCATCTGAAGTGGTGCCGGGCCAGCCACTGGGTCCCGAGAACACCACCAGTTTCCTCATCAAAGACTCAAGGTCGGTAGGCTCCTTTGCTGTGAGCTCTCTTCCTCCTCTGGTCACCGCTTTCACTGAAGTGGCGGTGTCAGATAAGTATGATGGGTCTTTCCAGGCAGCGGTATCTTCCCAACTTGCAGGGGTGTTCAATATAACTGTTAGGATTGATGGTAAACTTATCAATAATGGGTGGTATCCGTCCATCCGAAACTGGCCCATGAAGGCTGGGCCCATGTCTATCAACATGTTCACTGCCGTGGGTAGTGGGATTGGTTCTGTGAACATAACTGTTGGTACCAATGGCACCATTACAGCTCAACCATGTGACATGTTCGGCAACCCAACCACTCTGTCGAACCAAACTGTTGCTTCTGCCTTGGCTGCCCAGATCAGGGTGTCATTTGAAGTGCGGGTTCCCTCTCTAGTGGACAACTCCTTCACATCCTTCTCCGGTACACAAGCAATTCGCAACATCACCATCCGTGCCAGACCAGATGGATCGATAGCAATCTCATTCATCCCATTCCGCAGTGGCCTACTTATCACAAGCCTTGCCTTTTCAAACAACACTAATTCTGGTAAGAGGGGTCTCCTCCACTTCCGTGGGTCCCCCTTCACAGGCACTGTTTTGCCAGGAACCATTGTTGATGTCGCCACCTGTGAAGCATTTGGTCCTGGCCTACGCGGTGGAGTTGTCTGCAGGGACCTGAATGGTGGCTTGCCAGGTGAAGACTGCATCAACTCGACTGTCTATGTAAGTCCTCGAGACCTGTTTAACAACACAATCCTGAATCCTGCTGTTTGCAAGGCCTTCATTGCAGAGTTTTCAATCCCTGGTGGTGTTTGGAATTATGGCTTTAATCTAGCAGACACTGGACTTTGCGAGCTCAACTACATCTCGAGTGCTGTTGGATCGCAAGGGCTGGATATCACCTACAAAGGAGCACCAGTACGTGGCAGTCCATTCAGCATCAATATCAGCCCCACACTTACTGACATAGACCCTTCCAGGTGCACCTTTGAGACACCAACTCGTCCTTTTGTTCCAGCAGGCTCTAAATACATCGTCGTCATCACACTGGCTGATAGCAATGGAATTGCCTACTACAAGAATGTTAGCAGTGACTTCCTTGCAGCCACTATCCTCAATTCAGGAACAGCAGATCCACGTGCGGGGGAACCCCTCCCTCCCTCTGTCTTCCCTCTCACAGTGGCTGTTCGAGACCGCACTAGAGGAACTTACAGCATTTCCTGCAGCCCAACAAGGCCGGGCAACTATTCGCTCGCTGCTGTTGTTGGTCCGAGTAGGGCCCTCCTCGGAAAAGGTGGCGGTACAATCATTCGTGTGATTGTTGTTGCGGGCCCAACTGCTTTGGATAAGATAAATGTGACATACAAGGGGGGTGGAAAGTCTCAGTATAGAGTGGGTGAAGAAATAGGAGTCACAATCCAGCCAGCTGACGCCTACGGGAATTTTCAAGATTATGTGGCAGTTACAGAAGCGGAATCTTACTCTCTCGAGGTCATGAAACCAGATCAGTCGTTTCAGACATTAGATGCTATCCTGGTAACGAATGACGATGGGGAAACCAAGCATTGGGAGATCAGCTTTAAGCTGATGCATATCGGTTCCTACAATCTCTCCATTCTCTTCAGCTTTCAACTCAATGAGCGTGTTCTAGACAGGCGGAAAATTACGACAAGTAAGTGCACACTGCAACTTTTGGGGGGTAACTGGGGAAGGGACCAAAACATCAGCCTTTCCTACCATATAATGGGGGAACCACTTGGAAAAACAGCAGGGAATTCAATCTTATCTTTTGTTTCTTAGACCTTATCCCTCCTCTCCTTCCCTTTTTCTTTATCAAGGGCCTGGCCTGGACTCCTCCCCCCTCCCCCATCCCAAAACACCCAAGAAAAGGAGAAGCAGAGGAGGAAGCCAGTGTTACGAATTTCAAGAAAAGTACTTCCATCCATCATCTCACATACACACTTAGATTGAGATGAGATCGCATTTCATTGCAACTCCGCAAAAACCAGAACTGAACGATCAACCAAAAAAAGGTGATGTAGAATTGAGCGCCATGATGAGATTTTTATTTTTGTTTCTGATTTTTTTTTTTTTATGTTTCTGATTTTTTTTAAAATACTAAGAGAAAGAAAAAAAACAATCCAGGGCAATCCAAATTGCAGGAATCTGACAGAAAAGCTGAGGGTTGCGCTAGCGCCGCTCGGTCAGCGCAACGCGGCGCTCGCGCCGCGCCACAAAGGGGGCATAGGCGTCGACTTGATCCATCGCTGGAGACCGCGCACTCGTCATAGCCCGTCCTACGCTGGACATCACGCACGCGCGCCCTGCGCGGGCGCCAATCTTTATGCCCACCGAGTATGTTGGGCGTATGATGGAAGATACGAAGGGGGCATATGTGCCCGATTTTGAAGAAGCATGCACACACATTTCCCACCTCGAATAACGCCCTTGACAGCGTCGAAGTTCGGAAGAGAGAAAAGGCTCGTTCAAGTCCATCTTCAACCATATCTCCAAAGTAACGACCAACAGCCTTCACTGTTTTCTGGAGCTTCACGAAGACGAAGATCGGCCCGCCCGAGTGAGAGCAATCTATTATTTCCGCATTCCGGTCCCCTTCCCTCACCCCCATCCCATCTCATTCCCTCCCCGATCTCGCTTCCGGTCTGACCCTCATTTATCTCGACCCCACAACAAAAACTTTCTCTCAAACTGGCTCCATTTCCACCCCCTCTGACTGACCTCTTTCCACTCGCCCTCTGATTGCGACTCCTTCCCAACCCCTTACCTGGTTTACTCCGATCCCCATCATTGAGCAGAGCCCAGATATAGATATTGTCTCCCTCCCTAACCCCATCTCACCCAATCCCCCACCCGATTCCAACCTCACCCCTACCTCTCCTACTCTGCCACCAACCCCGATTCATTACGACTCTCACCCAAATCCTGTTTGACCTTCATCCCGACCCCAACCCCGCCCTATCCGGACGCCCGTCTATCCCCATCCTCAACTCACACTGATACTTCGCCAGTTTCGACTTTCTAGATCGCACTATTTTACATTTTCTGGTCCACCCATCTCTTTCCTTTTCTTTCGCCTTCTCCGATTGAAGTTCGACCCCGGCTGTCTTCCAAACGTAATGACAGCCGTTCCTCTCCTTCGCTTCACCTTCAATCTAGCAATAGTCTTAGTTGGAATCCCGATCCAGAAGTGGGGAGGGTAAATGCTGCTGGATTTTCTCGAAAACCCGACCCCCCACATTCTTGCACAATCTCTCTCCCCCCTCATTCACCCCACTACCCACCAGTCGTCTCGTAACCCGACCTCTCTCCCATCTTGCTACTATTCGTTTCAGGAGCAGAAAACCGCCCCCCGCATAGACCCCACCTCGATCCCTGACCCCACCCTGTTCCCAGCCGCCCTCATTTCGACCCAATCGTGATCCCGCTTTCTCCCGATCCCGACCTTCTCCCAACCTCGATCCCAACCCCAATCCCAACCTTGATCCCTACCTCGCTCCCAACCTCGATCCCAACTCGATCTCAACCCCGATCCCAACCTCGATCCCAACGTCGACCTCAACCCCAATCTCAACCTCGATACCAACCTCAATCTCAACTTCGACCCAAACCTCGATCCCAACTTCGATCCTAATCTTGATCCCAATCTAGGTCCCGTTTACTCCCGATCTCGAACCGCTCCCCATCTCGTTCCCAACCACGATCCAATCTCAACCCAACCTCGACCCAACCGCGATCCAATCTCGACCCAACCTCGACCCAACCCGCTCCCAACCTCGACCCATTCTCGATCGCGCCTACTCCCGATCCCGACCCGCTCCCAACCTCGATCCCGACCTTGATCCCAACCTCGATCCCAATCTCGATCACAACCTCTATCCCAACCTCGATCCCAATCCCGACCCCAACCTCGACCCCAACCTTGACCTCAACCTCGATCCCAACCCAACCTCTTTCCCTCCCCCTCCCAACCTCGATCCCATCCTATCCCTACTTCGATCCCAACCTCGGTTCTAACCCAACCTCAACCCCAACCTCGATCCCAACCCAACCTCGATCCCACCCGTTCCCAACTTCCATCCCAGCCGATCCCAACTTCGATCCCAACCCCGGTCCCTCCCGATCCCAGCTGCGAACCCAACCTTGATCCCAACCTGTTCCCAACCTGATCCCTCCCTGACTCTAACCCATTCCCACTCCTGATCTTATTTCGACCAAACCTAGATCCCAACCCGATCCCATCCCCGTCCCAACCCGGGGCTCATCTAGTCTCTGATCTGATCCTACCCTTCTTCCATTTCTCTCCCCTCCCTTCCCTCTCCCCCCTGGATTGGTTATTCACCCCACATTTCCTGTTCTGACATCAAGGAATAAGAGTGGACGGATCTGACGGCGGATAGAGAGTAGGTGAGGACTCACTTGCGTGTAGCGGAAGGAAATGGCTTCTCCATCCCAAAGCGCGAGTACATCGAATCCAAACATGGGAGAGAAAGGCATGTGCGTAATAGACAATGAGGCGCTCAAATTTTTGATAGACAAGACAAAAGTACAAGGAATACAAACCAAGGAGATTCAGAAAACAGAAGGCAAAGAAGAGGAAATTATAGTATGGAAATATCCGGAAGAGAAGGTGGCGGAATTGGACGACCTGCATGAAAGACACGGGGTAGTATTTAACTTTGCACGTAGTGGCGCAGAACTGCAGCGGCGGAGAAACGCAAATGGGTCATCGATACGATCAAGAAGGAATTGAAACTGAAACAATCTGAAGAGACTTTCACGCTGCAAAACTTGGGTAGAAACAACATCCTGAAGAACAAGCGAAAGCAGCAGCAGAGATGCAGTCCAGGAACTGCAACGGCTCGGTATGCACGATTACAAAGTGGAAGAAAGTAGTCGCGCAGAGGCAAAACCCGGTCTTTTCTGTTTCCTATAAACAGACTTTGTTAAAAGAGAAGTTCTGGGTCCAATTCGATAACATCCAACCGGGTTTTCACGGACTGTTGGTGGACATATTAGAAAGGCAGTACCCAGCGAACAGGATCCTCAAATGGATCCTGCCCACACCTGATTTCTTGGCTCCACACTGTGGATCCATGACTGCAGTTTTGGAAGACAAAACAGACAGCCCCCTAGTCTTTCCCCATGCCTGGAAACTACAGATTGAAAACAGAATCGTGGAGATTAAAGTATTGACCAAGACGGCGCTGATCTGTTTTCGATGTAGGGAACGGGGGCACATGGGCACTGTGTAACCGGGTGAACGCGCTGAACGCGCGTTCATACCCCCCGGGGCCGCGTTCAAACGCACTACGCGCCACGTGGCATGAAAAAATTGAACGCGACCCCGGGGGGGACACGCGCGCGTTACGGACTACGAGGTGATGGGTCTTGTTCTACGAACCCCAAAACTGCAAAAAAATAAATAAATAGAGGCCTACCCCCCCAACCGCATC